ACTCTTAAGGAGTAGAAATTGTGTCTGCAGTCCGTTCTACTATGTTGTATCTCCAGTTTTTGGGTGTTACCCCTAAGGTTAGTGTTGGGACTAAGCTTAAGTAGGTGTTTAAGATGGTGTCCAGGTGTGTTAAGGATACTGTAAGCCATTAGAATGTCACCTCTAAGACGCCTATACTCTAATGGGTAAAGGTCGAGTGATTGGAGGCGCTCATCGTAAGGTTTAAATTTGAGTCCCCGAACTGATTTCGTGGCTCGCCGTTGGATACGCTCCAGAGTGTCCTTATCCTTTTGGAGTGTAGGAGGGAATACTATGTTCCCGTACTCTAAATGGGGACGAATGAAACTATTGAAGATTATGTGGAAAGTTCTCCCGTCAAACTGACCAAAAATGCGCTTCAATGTTACCAGTGCAAGGTTTGCTCTAAAGGCATTTTTGTCACAGTTGGGGCACTAGAACTCCTAAATCTTTTTCGACTCGGGATACTACTAGAGAGGAGTTTCCTAAGTTGTAACTGTAATCTGCGACGTGTCGCAGATGGACTACTTTACACTTTGAAGTGTTAAAGGTAAGTCCGTTGTTGTCTGCCCAACTTTGAAGTCGAGTCAGATCATCCTGAAGTGCCTGTATGTCCTCTTGGTTGCGTATCTCTCTCCAAAGTTTCACGTCATCGGCAAAGAGCAGTATGTCTGACGTTACCTGTTGAGGAAGATCATTTATATAAATCAGGAAGAGGAGAGGTCCTAGTAATGAGCCCTGGGGGACCCCACTAGAACATTCCATAGCGCGTGAGAAATTGAAGTTTACCCTGACCTTAAAATGTCGATTTGTGAGGTATGAACTGAGCCAGTCAATTAAAGGTGGTTTGATTCCCAATTGTTTGAGCTTGTTAATAAGACATGTGTGGTTAACCCTATCGAAAGCTTTAGAGAAATCAAGGTAAATGATGTCTACCTTCCCCTTGCGATCAACGATGCTTGTCCATCTGTCCACCGCGGTCAGCAGGTTCGTCATACAGGAATAACCCTTCCTGAAACCATGCTGTTGGGGTGAGAAGAAATTTAAGGACAGCAGATAGTCATGTATATCATCGTATACCAGGGACTCCATGATCTTTGAAGGTATAGAGAGAAGGGCCACCGGTCGGTAACTTGAAGGTTCACTGCGTCGACCTCCTTTGAAGATTGGTGTGATATGAGCCAGCTTCCAAATATCCGGTAGTTTGCCCCGACTTAGCGAGTGTGAGAACATCACGCTAAGCGGTGTTGCTAGGATTAAAGCTGCTTCCCTCAGTATAGCAGAGTGGACCATATCTGGACCAGGAGAAGTGTCTGTTCTTAGGTGTTGTAGTTTACGGTACACCAAGTCAGCACTCAGTTTCACTACGGAAAGTCCTGTGCAGTTGCAGACAGAGCCGACATCAGTATAGTTGATGTGGGTCGGCTGAAATGTCCGGGAGTAGTGCTCAGCCAGAAGGTTAGCGGCGTCACCGTCATTATCTGTCGGGCCGTTAGGACCTAGCAGTTGAGAAACTCCAGTTTTGGCTTGACGAAGAGAGGCTGCATAACGGAATAAGCTTTTCGGATTGGAAATAAATTTATCCATAAGCTTTAACTGGTACTGAAGCCTGTCTTCTCTTATAGCCTTCGTACATATGTTCCTTATATGTTTGTATTGCCTGTACTCGCCGTTGTTGTTGGTTCGTTTGTATTCTGCCCAACAGTGCCTTTTACGGCTTAGCAAACGAAGAGTGCGTTTTTTGATGATTGTAGGTTGCTTGTGCCTTTTGGGGACCGTTTGAGGAACTGACTGCTTAGTAGCACATGAGAGCGTGCGCAGTAAGGAGTCCCAATGAGCATCCACATCAAGTTGAGGGTGAACATCCCAATCCACCTGTTGTAGATAATCCTGTAGAGCTGACGTATTCAACCGTTTGAAGTTCCAGCGCCTGTTGTTGTCGGGATATCTTAGCTCTATTTTGCTGACGAAACTGAAGGCTATAACGGCGTGATCGCTCTTCCCCAGGGGAGCCAGAATTGAGAGGTTGTCGACTAGAAATTCTTCATTTGTAAAAACACAGTCTAAGCGCGACGGTGTCTGACCGTTTCTCCAACGAGTGTGCGACTTCACATTTTCGTGTAGTCCCAAGTCCTCAATGAGGTTGAAGAACCGAGCTTCGATTGAATTTTCACCTCCAGTATACGTATGTTCCGCGAAGTTGACTCTAGGAAGATTGAAGTCCCCTAGAATCAGGATATGAGTGAAGCCGAGACGCGTAGAGTGGGATAGTCCCTCCAGCATGCGACTGTCATACTCGATGTCGGCAGTGGGCTTCCTATATATGACTCCGACTAAGCACCTCGAAGTAGTGGACAATCTCATAGAGCACCATAGGGATTCCTCAAGATTGTCAAACTCGTGGTTGTGGATTTGATGTACCACCAGGCCAGATCTTATGTATAGGGCTACTCCACCCCCAATTCCTGTTTTTCTGTCATTGCGAAACAGAGACATCCCAGGTATTGCTAGCTCCTGGTCCGAATACTGAGGAGATATCCAAGTTTCAGATATTCCTATCAGATGAACTTTATTAGCGTTGCTAAGTTCACTTAGTTCATCCATTTTATTTGGTAGACTCGCGGCGTTCATGTATAAGCAGTTAATGCTTTCAATTTGAAACGCGTGAGCTTCTTCCTGTTTATCTGTGAGAGCCTTGCGTGAGTGGACAGGTAACCCACCTATATAAGTTTTGTCAAATTGGTAGGCCCTGTCCTTTACACGTTTTTTTTGTCTTGAAGACAGTCCACAAGTGGAATGGTCAGTTCCAGCTTGCCTTTGTGCTTGATCCTGGCGTCGTATGGCCTATCCGGGTGCATATGGATCCCAGTTGGCAACCGACGTCTGTTGACACGAAATGCTTCCAGAGTTGCAGCCGCCATATGGGAGGATGGAAAAGTTATCCTCAATAGTCGAGGTCTAGGATCCCCATCCTTCTTGGCTAGTCTCATCACATGCTGAGACAGTATGTTTTTAAGCCTCAAGGACTGTTTGATGAATTTCCATTCCCGAATGTCAGAGTTTGCTTGAGTAGGGTCCATGTTTTCCGGTACACCTTGCACGATGATATTTCTTCCGCGGAAAAACTTCTCTCGAGAATCTTTAGGGACGTTTCGGATGAGATTGCGCTCAGAATATGGTATGTCAGGCAGTATTCTGACGTTCCCATCGGATTTCAGTAGATGACTGGCCAGCAGGACATCCTCTACTTCGGTAGCATTCTTGAGTGTTACACGGAGTAGTCTCGGGTGATTTTGATGTTTAGAATCCTTTCCCCGAGTGAGCCGTGTGACCGTCATAGGCTCTATTCTAGGGAGTTCGAGCTTTTTGTTCAGTTCACCCCAAAGCATCCTGTCATTTTTGTCCTGCAAACTGAGAGGAAGGTCAGGATTGTCTATGAGGTTCATGATTATGAGGGAGTCATCACGGACCGTTGTTGTCTTCCCAGCTCTTCCAGTGCGTTCAGATTCAGTACGTTGTTGTTTGGAGGTCGAAGCAGGTTTTTGAATCGTAGGCTTTTTAATAACCGGGCGGACATTTTTGGGGGTAGACTGAGCGATCAAAGCACCAGTTGATGTCCGTACAACACTTGGGATGTCAACCTTGGACGGTGACACCTGGTCCTTATTAGCTCTGTTGGCGTGGTCACAGTCACCTGCCGAGTTTTTAGGAACCACCGTTGCGTTTGAGGACCCTGAACTGGGAGATCCAATTTTAGTGAGGGAATCAATTATTGTCGACGTAATGATGGTGCTGAGTTTCAACATGTCATCATTAGTGCTAATGCGCGTTCCATCGATGGTTGACTTGTCAACATCCCTGTTCTTATTTTCGTTACGCGCCCTCGTTTGCCTACCTATTTTATGGCTATCTGTTTCCAAGTTTACTGACAATTTATTCCGCAGACCTGTCAGTAGAACAATGATATTGCTCAGCAGCACTATAGCGTCCGTGTTGCACGTAACGCACACCCACTTACGGTCCGATTTGCTGAGTCTTTTGTAAGCCGTTGCCGTAAGATCTGTGCACGTTTCGTGAAACCAACCTTTGCAGTTGTCACACTGCATGCCAGATGTAACAGCGAAACGGCATCCAGGTCTTTTACATGAATTTTTCATGGTTGTATTTACGTAAACTGTGCTTAAGACCTATAAAAATACACTAAAAACCACACTAAAACGGGAAAAATGTATAAAAACGGATGAGATAAAATGAAATAGCCTTTACGTGAAAAACTGAAAATAAACCGAATAGTAAGCTGAGGCAAAACCGCAGTTAACTATTAAATTGGGTGAAACTCAAAAAAAAGTAATCTACCGAACTTGTAGCTCAGAATAGATTGTTTAGATCAGAAATGGTACTTTTGTTGCGTAAGAACACAGCAAAAGTTTGAGAAATGCAAACCACGTTAGGACTAAACTTCCCGTTCGAAAAGCGCGCTTCTTATAAAACGGAAAAAGATTGAAAATTGGTTTACAGATAATAATTGTACGCTTCTTAATTACGAATAGACGAACGAGCATGTTGTGAATGAAAAGAACAACATGAACAAAGTACAAGCTATTCAGGCTTGTTTATATGTATGACCATAGCAACCCCTCTTTCGCTCATACAAAATCATGAAAATTAAAGAGGGGGAATTCACGGCTGCAATATATGGTGCGATTAAGGATCAAAAATATAAGGAAGCGGTAAACATACTAAATCAACAACTCCTCGTCCATCCAAGCAGTCGAGCTGCACTTTCACTACTCGGTTATTGCTTTTATCAGCTACAGGATTTTGTCAGTGCTTCTGATTGTTACGAACAACTGACTCAACACTTCCCTGATATAGAAGAATATAAATTTTACTTTGCTCAGTCACTGTATAAAGCAGACTTGTTTCAAGCTGCGACTAAAGTAAGTACCTCTATGTGATAATTAATTATCATACCTCTGTAGAGGTATTGGGATACTTCTAATTATGATTAAAAGTATTCAAATTAATGTGCTAACTAATATTTCTAAAACTAGTGCAATTTTGACAGGTAGAGCTAGATGTTCACGGAAATAACGTATTGTATTTGTAATTCGTAATCACCGGGCCATCATGTACAGCGGAATCATTATTTCTTATAAACACGACACCATATTAGATCTATTATGAAAAACGTCAAGATAAAATAGTTTTACACTCCTCAGTTTTATTGAATGTAAGTTTATGAGTTGTCTCTGTTGCACTGAGTTTTCATATACCAGCGGAGATTGTTAGGCCGTTGACGCAGTCATATGTACCAAGAATGATATTTAAAAGGACCTAGAAATAGTTTTATTGTATTAATCTGGTTATGTAAAACTACTTTACTAAGCTCTGTGTGGATTTGTATGTAAATTCCGATAAATGTGATTTGTATTTATGAAACCATATCAGAAGAGGTAGCGAATATAGCGGCATACATTTTACCGTTTCTGTATTCGTATTTAAATTTTGACCCATTAGGGAACTGAGTGTAAACAATATCACAATCATCGACTACCGTATAATTCTTTTGGGTCACTTTATCGATAAGTTTGGTTGATTTTTTGTTCAGTCTCGAAATGAAAATAATTAAATATTATCACTCCACAGACATTAGTCAGAAGTAATGGGGCTGTTTTTCAATACTCAATTAAAATATCACATAAGCCTATAACTAACGACTTATAAGGTATTTGCAGATAATTCAAGTGGTTTTTCAAAATGCATTATTTAGCAAGATCTTACGTTTTTAAACACTCGGTATGATTGAAATAAAAGTGATTGAGATTTAAATGTAAGTAAACACTGGAAGGCCTTTTCTTCTTGATACAGACTTCTCTGTAGTGTTTAGCCATGATCTCGCACACAGGACTCAAATACAGGACCTTTGGTCTCCCTCGAACGCTTAATTTCTAGACTACTAAGCTGACATCGACTGGTGTTAGTGTCTAACTTCAACAAATTCACAATACTGAGCGACCATCTTCTACTGTCTTAAGTGGATAACTGACAACAGACACGGTGGAACTTCACTGGTCACGGATTTTCACTAGAACTGCAAGGATTACCTATCGAAGGTAGTCACTAATGTTCAGCGAAGTCACCACTGAGATAGTTATCCACCACAAACAATGGATGAAAGGTTGCTAAAGATCGTGTGTCGATTAAGTTTAAACATTAACACAGTCGGATACCGATTCCATGGTCTAGAAGTTAAACGCTCTAGGGAGATTGAAGTTCCTGGGTTCGAGCCCGGTGTTTGGGATCGTGGATGCACACTATCGAGGAGTCCCGCATCAAGAAGAAAAGACTGTCCAGTACTTCCAGGTTTACAACGGCTATCTAATATCGATCAGTTCATGATCTTAAATAAAAAATACTCAATAATCTCTACAAACCTATACCAACACTAATTTTTGTTAGAGGGAGAAAGGGATCTCATATCATCTTTAAAGTAAATAAACAATTTGGGGATCAGTTTTGTTGAGTGTTTTGTCATTTATACAGTATTTCTCGTTCAGTTGGCAGCCCGTAACTGGCATCTAAGAAGCTAAGATGAAGTACTAACAGATCTGCTACATGATTCATCTAGACGGAATAATATTGATCGTGAAAATTTTCAATCTATGAAGTATAAATTAACTTAAGGAATACCATTTAATCTATGATCATTGATATTTATTACCTCATAATATTCTGCTGAACGAATCTGTTGCTCTTCACTTCATGTTCGTAAAAGATTTCACGTCAATCCAATGTCATTTTGAAATACTAGTTCGGTTTGTCCTATTTTTCAGGACTGTAGTTTCTAAATTCAATCAGTTCCATGTGTTAAAGTCATAGTGCTGTACATCTCTTAGAAGTAAATGATAAAACTTACAAATTAATCACTTTATTGCTCATTAAGGTGAATTCAAAGACTCAGAACGTGTTAGAAAAAAGGTAGATACTATAAGGAAACATATGTCTTACATCTTACATACCACTGAAATCTAATACGTATCTAAAACAGTGTTAGATTTTATCATGAAATGAGTTCATGCGAAAAATGCATAAAAAAGGTTGAGTTTGTTGTAGTTGAATATTAGTAGTTCAAGTGTTTACGCATCCAGAATTCTAAACTGGTTTGAATCTAAGACCTCTATACACTGTACCAAGTATGATGCCAAAAGTTATTATATAAAGTTCTCGTTTATCTCAGATCAATATGTTTACCATTTATTTACTATAAATTGTGTTTTTCGTTTTTTACAATAAAAGGCTGCAGCTCAAATTGAAGATCCAAATTTTAAGGAAAAACTTAACAAACTCAATGCTGCTATACATTATGGTGAAGGAGATATATCTGGTTCACGTAGTATAGTTGAACAAAATTCTGCTGGTGATATTGATTCAATGATTAATCTTGGTTGTTTATTCTATCGTGAAGGAGATTATCAAAAAGCTTGTCAACACTTTCAACAAGCTATACAAGTTAGTTATTTTTTTCAACTTACTTCATTATACGAAATATATGTTTAGAGTTAGTCAATAACAACGTGGAACATCGTACGTACATACATCAGTTCGAGTTGCTATACCACATTAGCACATAAACGCAGTTGTTGGGTCAAATCCCGTAGTGGTAGAGGTAGTAAAAGTATAAGCATTAATCGGAAAGTTTAGGGTTTGGAGATGTTATTCAAGAAGTATAATCCAGCCAAATAAATTTGAAAAGAGAAAAAAGGGAAATGAAGAAATTTAAATAAAGCAAGAACAAATATAGATGCACAAAATGGAGAATTCCGAAGATTAGAATTTGGGGGGACACAAAGTGTGGATACACCTGTGCCATTGCAAACGATTTTCAGTCATGTCATTCAAGATCCCTAACCATCAGTTGCTATCGTCCCACGGATCCGAGTCAGGTAGTATACACCTACCAATATGACTCCGTCCACTTGTCAGTGAATTCATGGATTTGTCCCATGTTTTGGTCTGGCCACCTCTACCTTACTTCCAACATAATCTTACACCATAAAACACCGCATGTCGGGGCAGTCGGTGGTTGGGTATACGTAACACATGTCCCAGTCATCTCAACTGATGAATTTTCACTACACCACACATCGGCCACGTTTCACAGCCATAAAGTAGGACAGAACGAACTATTGAGCAGTAAACCCGTCCTTTGGTTGGTAGACTTATACCTCGCCTGAGCCAAAAATCACGCAAGTTAGCAAGAGCTAGCCGAGCCTTCTGTATCTATGCTGAGATTTTGTCACACATCAGACTACAAAGGCTGATGAGACTCTCAAGATAAATGAAGCGGTCGTGACGCTCAACTGCTTCACTCTCCATCATATATATATATATATATATACTATTGCAGTAACTACCCTTACCTTGAAACCTTAATTTCTTAGGCATAGCTAGAGACGATCATATCAGAAGTTATCATCAGTTCGTAAAATAATTAACTGTAAGACTGAACTATGTTAGTAGGTCTGGACTACCTGATTAGAGTTCACTCGACTATCGTAACTGAGAGTTAGAGATAATAGATTACATGACGTAAAATCAACTGCAATTGTACAGATAAATTTACTTGTTATCATCCTCTTTATATTCAGTTTCAAAATGGTTTTAAACGTTTTATTTTGTGAACTAGTTCTTTCTTCTTGAATCGTATTCTCCAAACATAATATGTTTTACCATCGGTAACACTACTACTAATACTAATGATAATAATTGTTATTGAACCATTATTCTGGTTTTTCTATTGAAACTTTCATCTTATAATGATGTGGCGAGGCAACTTGGATCTACAAATATATACCCCCAAATGCCCTGGTACGTTAGAGAGTGGGAAGAGTTAGCTTTTCTTCTCGAAATGCTCTCACATGGTGTTATAACTTGTGGCCTGTGCGCCCTGTTAATGTATACGTAATGATACTTCTAAGTAAAGAGCAGTAAATTGTCGATCGAACAAAGGACACATAAAACACGTGCGAGCAGTCTAGAGTCCTGATTGGTCCTGCTTTCCGCCTAGCTCAATCAGTTAAGTCCAGAACACCACTTTCAGCCTTTGCGATATGAGTCGTTTATATCAAGCATACTGGGTATATATACCAACTAGACAGACCGCGCCGTACCATAAAATATGAGACAACATTTGTACAAGAATTAGCCAAATGTGGCTGTGAATGTGAGAGATTGTAAGCGATAGACAGGGCATAACTCAAGATGGGTAGATCGTATAATAACAGCTCATAGGTCAAAATAAAGCTCATAATAAGAGAGATATAAATATATGATAAAATATACGATAAAAATATACGTATAGCACTGGTCCATAAATGGATCCCACAAGTTACCATTCATTATGCATATCGGGGCATAACACATGGTCACGTGCATACAGCCACTGACAAGGAAGTCTTACTTACTACCTTCTCAAGAGAGGGGTGTTCTTTACAAAATTGAGAGGACCGGAAGAGAATGTCCGGCGCTTTGACCGGGTTGGCGGATATGGTGGGTCCACCTAGAGTAGTTGGAAAACCCTTATTTCAAACTAATGGTACACATGGGCTACAGAATTCTGAATGAACAAATGCCGTATAAACCTTTTGTTGGTCACCGGCTACCATATGACTGAGTCTCCTGACGTTGCCTCACTGTCTTATGGATCAGACCTTCAGGTCAAAGGCTCCGGATGTAGCCCCCTAAGAAAACCACCTGCTTCGGTTTGAGAACCCGGGCAATATCACAGCCCACACACAAATCAAGTGACTTTTGTGGTGCATATGTATTCGGTTTGTATTTGTACCACGATCTCGCCCACCACGAGATTCGAACCCAAGACTTATCAGTCTAACGCGCGAGCACCTAACCACTAGACCACTTAGCCGGTATTCAATTAGTTTAACAATAGGATTAAGTAAGTTGACTATGTAGTAGTATAAATCATAATAGAGAGTGAAGTAACTGTCATTCGAAAGAAAAAAGAAAGGTGACTTAAAGTTAATTTTAGTAAACTGACTGAATCGGTTACATGTTCTAACAATAAAATCATACAATTGAGGGATAGATAAATACAACTATAGTATAACTTAGAAAGTAGTGTACTTTGAAGAAATTATAGTAATGTAATGAACGGGTTCTCACTTTTAGGCTTGGATGGAGAATGATGGTGAGCGGCCTATGCTCCTTCACGAGGAGTAACAGGCGTAAGTAAGTAAATAATTGAACGGGAATACCAACAGGGAAAACCGAGTGTAATTGGATACGAAACTACAGAATATCTTAGCAAAATCTGAGAACTACATAGTAAATACTTCATTTTCAAATTATCAGTCAATCGTCTCAGTCAGTCAGTCAGTAACAACATGGAACTTCGTACGTACGTACATCAGTTCGAGTTGTCATTCCACATTAGCAGAGAGATTCAGTTATCGATTCAAATCCCGTAGTGGTAAAGGTAATGACATTTTTTGGGTCAACCTTTTCTAACTCCTTCCTTCCTTGTGAGAAGGCAGCATCGCTGCAGATGCTGGTTGTCCGAGGGAAACACCTTACTGCTGTCACAACTCTGTACAGTCAGCAGTACGACTTCGCCCTCAGACCTTGAGTTGGTGCTTTTAGTCTTACCGTTCTTCAATCGACCTGCAAGAACATATGTTTCAGCCAATATGGCTCGGTCGGGTCACCACGATATGCAAGCCCGACCACCACGTTAAGGTAGCAGCTACGGTCGGGAGTCAATCGTCTCAGATTTCATTGTCCTTGTTCTCTTTTCTTCGATCTTCTTAAACTTGTGTCGCCAAGCAATTTACATTCGATTGACGATACATGCAACTTATATCCATCGACATCAGTAGCACACACCATACTCGTCCCTCTTTCTAGTAGTCAGCCCTAGGGGAGGGTCCTGCCGAGCGTAACGTGTGCTACTTGTGTCAATAAACATTACATAGTTACTTTATAAAATCGAAAAAACCATACTGTAATACTCTAATACTGAAAGCCCTGGGTTAGAATCCCACGAGCAGGATCGGGAATATGCATTACTGAAATGTCCCACAATAGGATGAAAAGGTCGTCTAGTGCTTTCAGGTTTTCAATGATGGTCTAACATCAATCAGTTCATGATCTCAATCAAAAACTTAGTAATATTCACAACCTCTATACTGATAGTAAGATTAAATCGTAACCTAAGCAGATCAAGCTTAAATTGGAATATTTTGACAATTCCATTTCCAATAAATCAGAGCCAATGAACAGATTAAAATTGGATCAGAAGATTCATCTGTAAATTCTATGTAAACCTGTTTTGTTATTACTACTGCAATTCCTAATGTCTTAGTTATTTGGAGTTAATCTTGTTCTTTGATTATCTTTTCTGAATTGTGATTAAAAAAGGAATGCTGAAGAAGTAACGAATTAACCAGCGTCCTCTTATAGGACGTCTTGTTGTGCATAGATCAAATCACAACAATACGGATCATCGTTGAACAATCAGTTGAGTGGAAATTCATTGACTATGAGAAAGCGTTCGACAGCATATGGATAGGAGAACATTATAAAAACTTCTTCAACAGTATGGTGTATCTGAGATCGTCAACATTATCCGGAATTCATACGATAGACTATACTGCAAAGTAGTGCATGGAGATCAGCTGACAGATACATTCCAAGCGAGGACCGGAGTCGGACAAGGTTGTCTACTCTTTTCTTTTCTCTTTCTTCCGGTGGTTAACTGGATTATAAAAACCTCTACATATGAGGGAAAGCACGGAATACAATGAACAACTCAGAATCAACTAGATGATTTGGACCTCGTATATTATCTGCAACTTCTGTCACATTCATGCAAACAAATGCAGATGAAAACAACGAGTGTAGTAGCAACCTCTGCATCAGTGGGCCTCAACATACACAAAGGAAAAGCAAGATCTTTAAGTACAAAACAGATAACATCAATCCTACATCACTTGATGGAGAAACTCTGGAAGATGTGGAATCCCCCTCACGTACCTGCGAAGCATCATCGATAAACAAGGACGATCCGATGCAGATTTAAAGGTGAGGATCGGCAAAGCAAGGACAGCATTCCTAGAGTTGAAAAACATATGGAACTAAAAACAACTGTCAACCAGTATGAAAGTGAGAATCTTCAATACGAACGTCAAGACAGTTCTACTATACACACCTGAAACTTGTAGAATTACCGTAGCCATAATCAAAAGAGTACAATTGTCTAAGTAAAATACGTATTTTACGTAGACAATTGTAACGGACATGCAGTACTGCATGTCCGTTAATGAGATATTATCAACAACGGCCTACTGTGGGATAAAACAAACCAACTTCCAGGTGATTAAAAAATTAGGAAAAGACGTAAGAAGTGGATAAGTTATACATTGAGAACATTATCAAACTACATCACAAGGCAAGTGATAACATGGAATCTTGAATGGTAATAGAAAAGAGTAAGGTCTAAGAACATACTCCGTCATGAATTGGAAGTAGACATGAAAAAAAGTGAATAGCAACTGGGAAGAATAGCCAAGGATAGATTTAGATGAAGAGTGATAGTGAATAACCTATGTTCCTCGACGAGGGGTAACAAGTTTAGGTAAGTAATTATAGTAGAGTGAACAAGAACATCAGTGGGGACAATCGAAGTAATTGACGTTAAATTACAGAACTATTTAGTAAAATCTATCAACCATATAGTAAATGTTCAATTTGCAAAATGTTCATCAATTGTCTCAAATGACTTGGACTTCTTTTGTTCTCGCATTTTCATACAAATTGCATTCTGTTTTCGTTCTTTACTGTTCGATCTTCTTTTCTCTTTATTGCCAGACATTCTGTTCACGATTAACATCATATACTACTTATGTCTACATAAGTAGCACACACCACACTCGTTCCCTCTTTAAAAGCAGTCGTTCTTGTGGTGGTTCCTGCTCGCCGTGGAACATTATTCTTTTCTGCAGTCTGTGCTTCGACCTCCGTCAAAATATCGAATCTGTGACGCGCTGACCTCCATAGTTCTGTCGACCTGCCGGAACACCAACATCCGACATTCACCCGGGACCTGGGACGTCTAACACCCGTGATCCACTGGCCTGCTGAGTCATCTACACCCTATGTCCGCCAAGCAGCCACACGTCCCACCGCTCCTCTCCGTCGACAGTGCCCGCTAAAGCCAACGCCACCCCGCCAGAACACTCCACCAGACACCACCTCTCCGAACCAGACTGCCCCAACACGCACCTCAGTCTCAAGCCCGCAATGGCGTCCACAGAACAGCACCCTTCCCTTCTCCTGATTGGCAGCGACCCCAAATGTAGTAAACAAGAACACCAGTGGGGACAATCGAATGCATTTGACAACAAATTACAGAACTAGTTAGTAAAATCTAACAACCATATAGTAAATGCTCAATTTTCAAAATGTCCATCAATTGTCTCTGTGCTGCCCGACATTCTGTTCACGACTAACATCATATACTACTTATATCTACATAAGTAGCACACACCACAATAAGACGTCTTAGTTGTGTACATTCTTGATCTAACTGACAATCAAACCCAATAGTTTCAAGTTAATGAAACAAAAAGACAAAACAATCAATAATTATCTTCAGTGAGCTGATATCTGATGACCTGATTAAACATCATCGGTCACAACTTCTCCCTAGAACTCTAGATATGTCGATGGAACAATTTCAAATGAACTATTGAAAATAAAACTCATATTTCTCTTTTCTTTTCTTTTTTTTTTCTCCCTTTCTTATCAAGATGACCGGTTTTCAATCACAATTATCTTATAATATTGCATTATGTTATTATCAAATGAAACAATATGCTCAATCATTAAAATATATTGCTGATATTATAGAATATGGAATAAAAAATCATCCAGAACTTGGTATTGGTATGACTACAGAAGGTTTAGATGTAAGAAGTGTTGGAAATACAATAATATTACATGAAACTGCTTTAATTGAAACGTTTAATTTAAAAGTGAGTTAAAATTATTAAACAGGGTTTCGTAATCAAATTTATAGGACTCCTCAGTATGTCATACTCTATAATCTACTAAGAAACAAAACCTATTTCTGTATACTTATTTATAAGATAGTGGATGGATAATTTTGATGAAATTATGTTCTTTGAGCTAGATATTTAAGTCGTGGAAAATTTGTCATTTATCTGGACAACATCATCAGTATAAACTTCAGGTGCTTATGATGTCGTACAGACGAACAATGAAAGCTCCATGACAAAACCATCCAGCTCAGAAAACAGAATTCTATCAAAACACTTATGATATGATATAATAGTTACGTTCAATAAAAAAACGGTACCTAAAAGACCAAGGGGTTCAAGAAGTTAATGTCGCCGTTGAGCCTATCCGTACATCGTGAATCTTATATATTTGTAAATTAATCAATCATCAGAAGGGGTTTTGTGGAGATTGTAGTAATTTCAATAGTTGAAATTATGAGTTCATTGAAGCTAGACACCACTATGGAAAACCTGGAAACACTGGACGGCCATTTCGTCCAAGTAGGGGACTTCTCAATAGTGCGTATCCACGATCTCTCCCACCACGAGATTGGAATCCAGGATCTATCATTGTAATCAATTATTTATGTACATTTTATTTATTTATGCTAGTGTTATGTTCTGTAAATTCGTCTTTGAAATGGTAAAGCTTTCATTATCCTCTTCCACATCATCATTAGCAACTACATCAGATGGATGTAATCTCATTGAAATTACTACACTCGTTCGTGACAGTTGGTGTTATGAGCTTTGTTAACTTCATATGTTTTCATATGCCAACTTAATGTTTTTTCAATTAATCTCCAACCATATAACTATTTATTCTTCTTCATAAGGATTTGTATCCCAGTGGTTTGAATCATTCTTTGATATTCTTACAGTTTTCCTACACACTGCTTTCTCGTAGCATTACTGTTGTTTACGAAATTGAGAGAATGAAAAGCGAACGTTCGGTGCTTTAACCAGGTTGGTGGATACCGAAAGTTTACCTAGGTAGGTTGAAGAACCTTCATTCCAAACCAATGGTGAACATGAGCCCCAGAATCCTGAAGGAACAAATGACATACGAACCAATTATTGTCCATCGGCTACCATATAACTGTATCTCCTGACGTTCCTCTATTGCCTTATGGATCAGACCTTTAGGTCAAAGACTTCAGGTGTGACCCCTTTATCAAAACCACCCGTTACAGTTTTCACACCCTGATAGTATTCCAGCCTCACACACAAATCGAATGACGAAGTCTGATACATATATATTTGATGCCATTAGGTACCATTTTATGAATCAAGAATCACTGGACAGATAGATCGTCTTTATATGAGACAGTTCCTTCGTTTGTAAACACTGAAATAAAATGAAGATATTGAGTCCTGTGAATCAAAGTATCATCTCTTGGATCCTTTAGATGGTTTCCATCTAAATATGGAATCATATGTGTAATCTAGAAGTCAAAAGAAAGGAGTTCTTTCTTGGAAAATGACATTAGAAAAAAGATGTACACAACGCAAACTACTGAAATAATATTAAGTAGTGTAATTAATGTATGAGATTTTTTTTACTTTCAGTATAGATTTTAGTATGAAGTGACTTATTGTAGAAAAAAATATAAAATACTGAAAACTATAGTGTAAAAGATAGCTATTCCTTCGTAAATTGAGATTCTCTAGAAATAGATTGAACATGAACTTGACATTAGTCGTACCGAAGAGGCTAATAGGTTTAAATTACTCATTCAGTATCCAGTCATTCAAACTTCTATATGGAAGTTCAATAGAACATTATCTACAAACCTCCTGTTTGAATAATTACGTGTTTATTAGTGATGATTAGCAGATAATATGGCTCTTTTATCACAAACGCAGTGACAAACGCAAAAGAAGACGACCAATATAACAGCAGTAGGTCTTAATGTACACAAAGCGAAAAACAAGATTCTCCGACACAACACAGTATGCAACAATCGAATCCCACTTGACGGATATTTGAAAGATGTAAAAACTTTTTCATATCTGGACAGCGTCATTGATAAACACGGTGGATCTGATGCAGATATGAAAGCGCAGATCGGCAAAAGCAAGAGTAGCATATTTACAACTGAAGTATATCTGGAACTCAAAACAACTGTCTGTCAACCAACACGAAAGTCAGAATTTTCGATACAAATGTATGAGGCGGAAACTTGGAGAACTACGAAATCCATTATCCAGAATATACAACAGTTATCCACGCAAAATACTTCGGATCAGTTGGCTAGATACTATCAGCAACAACCTACTAAGTGAGAGAACAAACTAGATCTCAACGGAGGGGAAAATCAGGAAGAAGCGCTGAAAGTGGATAGGATACATATTGACTGAAGCATTCAATCGCGTCACAAGACAAGCCCCCACATGAAATCATCAAGGTCAAAGGAAAAGAGGAAGACCAAAGAACATATTACGTCGGAAAATAGAGATATACATGAGAAAATTGAACAAGAAATGGATGGAACTAGAAAAGAAGGCCTAGGACAGAGTAAGTTCGACAAAAATGCAAGTCGGAAGCCTATGCTCCACTGGAAGTAATAGACGTAAGTAAGTAAGTAAGCAAGCAATAGGTTGACAAGGATCTGACAGTAGTAAAATCAAAGAATGATATTGGTTTATAAGATCATTCACCCATGAATGTATTCACGATAACCGCGTTTACCAATGGTTAGTATTATTATCATCATCATTATTTATTTATTTATTGTCTTTTTCAATAGTTGAAATCATGAGTCCATTGGAGCTAAACCACCATGGTAAACCTGGAAGCACTGGATGGCCATTTCGTCCTAATATGGGACTCCTCACCAGTGCGCATCCACAAAACCACTTCTAATAATAATCATCTGCTCACTAGTGATTGACTTCAAGAGATACTCCTGGAGTTCTGGTGAGAAGCTATGACCAATGGAGTTCAAACATGTCTGTTGTGAGATATCAACTCACTGCAGACAATCGTGAACGGTGGCATAACTTCGTGGATTGGTTGACGTTAGACATTAACACCGTTGGATGCCGGCCAGCTCAGTGGTCTAGTTGGTTAAGCGTCTGACACGAGACTGATAGATCCTAGATTTGAATCTCGCAGAGGAGGGCGGGATTGTGGTTACGTAATGCTGAGGAGTTCCATACTAATACGAAATAGTCGTCTAGTGCTTCTAGGTTTTCCATGATGATGGTCTAGTTTCAATGAATTTATGATTTCAACTATTGAAATTACCAATTCTTCATAAAACCTTTTCTAATATTATCTTTTTTATTAAAGGCAGCTATTGAATATAATTTAAAAAATTATACATCAGCATCTGAAGCTTTAACAGATATGCCACCAAGAAATGAAGAAGAACTTGATCATATCACATTACATAATCAAGCATTAATGAATATGATGAAAGAACCAGCAATTGGTTTTCAAAAACTTCAATTTCTATTAAAACAAGATACATTTCCATATGAAACATTTGCTAATCTTTTATTACTTTATATAAAATATGAATATTATGATTTAGCTGCAGATATATTAGCTGAAAATACAACATTAGCCTATGAATATCTGTCATCGGATTTATATGATTTTATTGAAGCAATAATTCTTAGACAAACATCACCACAAGATGCATATAAGTAAGTTGATTGATTGAAATAAACAATTTCGATGAAGTTTTATTCTTTCAACTGGATCGTGATAGTTTGATCATGATGGTTTCATTGTTCTTTTGAACAATATTATCATCATCATCATCCAAAGCATCATCATCATCATCATCCAAAACATCATCATCAGTACAAAATTCTGGTAGAAGTGATATTAAACCTGTAATTGTATAAGGTTTATGGTTAACAAGAATCAATCAACATTGAGGTCTACGAAGACAAGCTATGAGCTATATGTGGAGATATTCGAACACTTCACTTCTACCTGAATTTTCTGCTGATGATGTCGTTCAGAAGAACGATGAAAGCTCCATGACAAAACCATCCAGCTCAGAAAACAGAATTCTATCAAAACACTTATGATATGATATAATAGTTACGTTCAATAAAAAAACGGTACCTAAAAGATCAAGGGGTCCAAGAAGTTAATGTCGCCGTTGAGCCTATCCGTACATCGTGAATCTTATATATTTGTGAATTAATCAATCATCAGAAGGGGTTTTGTGGAGATTGTAGTAATTTCAATAGTTGAAATTATGAGTTCATTGAAGCTAGACACCACTATGGAAAACCTGGAAACACTGGACGGCCATTTCGTCCAAGTATGGGACTTCTCAATAGTGCGTATCCACGATCTCTCCCACCACGAGATTGGAATCCAGGATCTATCATTGTAATCAATTATTTATGTACAAAACGTTTCATCAAAATATTAAGACTACACTTAATCTATTTATGCTAGTGTTATGTTCTGTAAATTCGTCGTTGAAATGGTAAAGCTTTCATTATTGTCTTTCACATCAACATTAGCTACTACATCAGATGGAAGTAATCTCATTGAAATTACTACACTACAGGTTTAAAGTCAACAAGAATCAATCAACATCGAGACCTACAGGACAAGTTGTGAATCATATGTAGAGAAATTTGAATACTCCACTTCTATTTGAAGTTTCTACTGATGATGTCGTACAGACGAACAATGAAAGCTCCACAACAAAATCATCCATCTTAGATAACAAAATTCCATCCAGATCTATATTCATGCATTCATTTCGATTTGTACATTCATTATACAATGATCAAATTAACATAAAAGTTAGGATGCCTGTTAAACTATCAGTGAAACTATAATTTCTGGATAACCTTTGAATGATGCTAGATTGACTTTGAGAATATCCATTGAATAACCAGAACTAAATGAGGGTTATAAAGCTATGAGTGTTAATTATAATTATAATTTACAGTTAATGATTCAGATTAACAATTAGATTTCAGGTTTTCCATCATGAATTGACATTTATCCAAATGGATGTGTGAATTTCGCGCCAAAATCTAAGACCTTTCATCTTATACGTGATTGGTTTGTCCATAAATTGTAATCATGCCGTTTATACCTTTGCATCGAATGATCCATGTCATATTTGTCTATACTTCATGTTGAACAAATTCTATCAGTTAGTTTGTAATATGGTTATTAAATTCAATGATTCAATATTCTTCATACTGTTTTGATAGCTAAACCTAAGTTTCATCAGTAGTGATGTACTTGTGATCTGGAGGAAATTGATATTCGCTGTGTGATTTTGAATAACTATTCAAAGACGAACTTGACTCCGACTTAATTGAAATGTCACAGTCATGTAGGAGGTTAGTTGTGGTTTGAATTCATCATTATAAATAAGTGGATTGGTTAAGAGTTAGACATCAACACCGTTGGATGCTGATTCAGTGGTCGAGTAGGTCAACCGTTCGCGAGCGAAACTGAAGGCCCTGGTTTCGAATCCCGCCCGCGGGATCTTGGATGCGCACTGCCACTGAGGAGTCCCACAATAAAACGAAACGGCCATCCAGTACTTCCAGGTTTTCAATGATGGTCTAACATCAATCAGTTCATGATCTCAATCAAAAAAAACCTTGACAATCTTCACAACACCTAAATTGATCTAATTTTTTTATTGTAATTTTTCTTTGAAATCTTTTACTCAAGTCGTTTTGATCAAATGGCTATAAAACATACAGAACAATTAAGACGTTTAACAAAAATTATTCAAGAAGCTAGACAAAATCAAAATGATGAATTAGTTAGAACTACTGTACATGAATATGATATGACATTAGAAAATTATATTCCAGTGTTAATGCAACAAGCTAAAATCTATTGGGATATGGAAAATTATCAACAGGTAAGCATTAATGATATCCCAAAGTTTGTTGTTCTTATTCTTGTTGTCACCGTTGTTTATATATGTTGAAATCATGAGTCCATTGAAGCTGGATCACCATGGTCATTTCGTTTCAGTACAGGACTCCTCAACAATGCATATCCACGATTCTGCCCACCCCCCTCGTGAGATTCGAACCAAGGAATAACTAGTGACTGACTTCAAGAGACATTTCCTAGAATTCTAGTGAGAGACCGTGACTAGTGGAGTTCAACCACATCTGTTGTGAGATATCAGCTCACTGTAGACAATCGTTGACGGTGTCGCTATTTCGTGGATTGGTTGAAGTTAGACATTAACACCATTGGAATACGGCTCAGTGATCTAATGGTTAAGCGCTCGCGCGTGAGACTTATAAGTTCTGAGTTCGAATCTAGCGGGGGGCGAGATCGTGGATTCACACTGCTAAGGGATCCCACAACAGGACAAGACGACTCTCCAGTGCTTCCAGGTTTTCCATGGTGGTCTAGCTTTGATTGACTCATGATTTCAAATATTAAGTTTATATATATATGTATATCTATATACTGAAAGTATGTCACACAGTATATACTAGACAGATCTATGGAGTATGAATACATAGAAGATTGTCACAAGATTACATAAAGAGTGAGAGATAAGTCTATGAGTGCATCTTTCAGAATTTCTCCATCAAGTAACATAGGTTTAGTTTACTCTATGTCATATTTGAGGATCTTAATTTTTTCCCTTGTGTATGTTGAAGCCAAAAATTATTAAACTGCATCACAAAGCAAATCCTAACTTGGAATCCTGAAGGTAAGCAGAAAAAAAGAGAAAGGTCAAAGAATACATTATGTCAAGAAATACAATCAGAGCGTCTTATACTCCTTTCACGAGGAGTAACAGGCATACATAATTAATTAAGTGAACCAAATGGATCCTCTATATTCATTAATTCAAAGACTTTGAGATATAACCTCCATATATATATATATATATATATATATATATATATATATATGAACTATCTGGCCGGACACTATAAGCAACAACCTACTGTGGGAGAGAACAAATCAGATCCCAGTGGAGGGAGAAATCAGGAAGAAGCGCTGGAAGTGGATAGGACACACATTGAGGAAAACACCCAACTGCGTCACAAGACAAGCCCTCATATGGAATCCTCAAGGTCGAAGGAGGAGAGGAAGACCAAAGAATACATTACGTCGGGAAATGGAGATAGACATGAGAAAAATGAACAAGAATTGGATGGAACTAGAAAAGAAGGCCCAGGACAGAGTGGGTTGGAGAATGCTGGTCGGCGGCCTATGCTCCATTGGGAGTAACAGGCGTAAGTAAGTAAGTAAGTAACTTCAATGTAGATCCACCAAAGATCAAATATCATGATCTATTTGATACCTTCTCCCTCTATCCCTCCCTCCCTCGCTCCCCCCCACACACACTTTTCTTTTCTTTTATCTTCTTTAGGTTGAAAAGATTTTTCGTAAATCTGTTGAATTTTGTAATGATCATCCAATATGGAAATTAAATGTTGCCCATGTTTTATTTATGCAAGAGAATAAATATAAAGAAGCATGTACATTCTATGAACCAATTATAAAACGTCAATATACTAATTTATTAAATATTAATGCTATTATTATAGCTAATTTATGCGTGACATATATTATGACTAGTCAAAATGAATATGCTGAAGAATTAATGCGTAAAATAGAAAAAGAAGAAGAAGAACTCGAACAACAACATCAACAAGAAGGACAACTTGTTGAAGGACTTGAAATGGATCCATTGAATCATCATCATTATCATCATCATAATTATTATGATTATGATTATACTTCTTCTTCTTCTTCTTCCTCGAATCAAAAATCTTATCATTTATGTATTATTAATTTGGTGATTGGTACATTATATTGTACTAAAGGGAATTATGATTTTGGAATTAGTCGTATTATGAAAAGTTTAGAACCTTATCAAAAGAAATTAGGATCAATTACATGGTAAGTAGATCATTATATGTGTGTATATGTTTGTGTATTTGTATATATGTAGTGTGGCGTTGAGTCACGGTTGACTATGAACACCATTAAAAGAAGAGCGCGTATCAGACAAATCAGAAGGTGAAGAAGGTTGGTTACCACATTTATTCGTTGACGATTGTATGGTATCGAACGAATACTGAGATCATACCAAAAGGAATACAAACGGAATTAGTGAGCAGAAGAACGTGTGTACAAAGTCACAATTCACGAAAGAGTAATGGCTGTCTTTAGTACAGTTAAACAAACGAACGTAGTAAAACGATCACTGGTACAATTGGTTATAATAATGATTGTTTTCATTAAACTAATCGCGTTCTGTTGATAAAAATAGGTCAATACATATGTGTGTGTATGTGTATGTGTGTGATTCAGATTCTTAGTGTCTTTATACATGATTGTAAGTAGTTACTTCATAGAGGACAACTGAGAGATACATTCCAAGTGAGGATTGAAGTCAGATAAGACTGCCTACTTCGATGGAGTTTTGTTCTCTGAGCTGGATAGTTTGGTCACGGAGCTTTCATCGTTCTTCTGAATAACATCATCAGCACAAACTTGAGATAGAAGTCTTCTATTCAACTCAGAGAACAAAACTCTTTCGAAATCATCCACCTGAGCTAAAAATCTTCTCCACCATCTCAAGACTGCCTACTCTCCTCTTAGAGAGTGAGATCTGAGAGGAAGCACGGAATACATAAGACAACTAGAAGATTTGATCACTGCAGATGATCTGGCTCTTTTATTTCATACACATCAACAAATATAGATGAAGACAATGAGTGTAGTAGCAGGCTCTGCATCATTGGGCCATAACATACGCATTGGAAAAAGTAAGACTGTCAAATACAACTCAGAGAATATCAATACAATTACAATTGATAGAGAAACTCTGGAAGATAATGGAGTGTTTCAGGTACCTTAGCAGCATCATCATCAATGAATAAGGAGGATTCGATGGAGATGTTAAGGTGAGGATTGGCAAATTAAAGACAGCATTCTTATAATCGAAGAACCTATAGAACTCTAGCTAATCTCAAAGTCACAATTTTCAATATGAACGTCAAGATAGTTCTACTGTATACAGCTGAAACTTGTAGGACTATCATAGACATAATCAAAAGAGTAAAAGTATTTATAAACAATTATCTACGTAAGATACTCATTTTCCATTGGATGGATACTATCAGTAATGCCTTATTGTGGGAGAGAGAACAAATCAACTTCCAGATAAAGTGAAAATTAGAAAAAGATATTGGAAGTGAATAAGACATACATTGAGGAAATGATCAAATTGCATCACAAAACAAGTGCTAACTTGAAATCCTGAATAGAAGCGGAAAAGAGAAGGGTCGAAAAACACATATTGTGTCAGGGAATCAGAAACAGATATAAAAACAATGAATAGCAACTGAAAGGAGCCGGAAAGAATTGTCCAAGACAGAGTTCGTTGAAGAATGGTGATGTGCGCATCCATGACCTCTTCTTCTGTGAGATTCGAAACCAGAACCTACTGGTCTCACACGCGAGCACTTAACCACTAGACTATTGAGCCGTAATCTAAAGGTGTTAATGTCTAAGTTCAACTAATCCACAAAATTGGTCGACACATCCACCATCCACCATCGTGGATGCGCACTGATGAGGAGTCTCACAATAAAACGAAACAGCCGTCCAGTACCTCCAGGTTTTCCATGGTGGTTTAGCTTCAATCGACTCATGATTTCAACCATTGAGATGTGTAGTAATCAAAAAATAAAATGACGTAATTTTTTGTTTTTATCTTCATACTTCTCTAACATAATTAACATTTAATTGGCTTGGCATTGTTGTTTACTTGAATCTTTCCACTGATGTTTAGGATTGCAATTTATTAGTCTCTTATTGGCATATATTTATACTGTGTGTATTGCTTCGATATTGCTTTAATTTACAAGCGTTATAAGCAAAGATGGATGAATAGTAGCTAGCATGAGGAATCTAGGAAGCGCGTTTCGTTTTATTTAGGACTCGTCAGATGGATGTGCCTGCATTTCAGAGTTGATGTTCAGTTTAGGATTCTAACCAAGTGCTATTCGTTTCAAACGCCATTGCAGGTACATTCAGCCGACAAATCCCAAATAAGACAAAATGCGTATCCTGAATTTCACTACTAGCCACTATCCATCGTTGCTTATAATTGACATTTGTTTCTTTCGAAAGAAATTATTAATAAAGGTTATATTACTAGTATAGGGAGACTTTTTTGTTGAATCTTAGCTTAGTGATTATTGAAAACGTGAAAGAATTTGATAATTATTTCATCCTTAGCAATACACTTTAACAACCTCATATCAAAGAATCAAGTCTAGCATCCTACGATGTTAGGTATTAAGACGGCTAGATGCAAGCTCGTTAGTTTAGAGGTTCATGGACTCGAGGTCCTGGGTTCGATTCTCGGCTGTGAGATTGTGAATGTGTAACGCTGACAAGTCACCTACCAGTTTGAAACAGCTTTCAATGCTTCCAAGTTTTAGTCAGTTTTTTCTCGCATTTGCTGGAATCACGCGGAAGGTATTAGGGCATGATGGTAAATCAGTCGATGAAGATTTACAACTTTATCGACTGAGATGGTTGGGTTACGTATTACGTATGCCTGAACCCGATTGCCACAACACGCATTGCTGGCCAAACCAAAATGTAGCATCAGTGCTTGAAGTCACTAACTTCTAGCCTTATCCATGTTAGTAGATGTAGAATCGACCACACTGGCGTAGGTGTATACACTCTTTATCTTCCCTTAAACTATGAGATTAAAATCGCTTCGTATCTTTCTACCTGCGCTATATACTTATATTCAATCTTTCTTTTATATATTACCACCATTGAATTAACTACTTCTATGAATCCAATGTCCGAAGGCGAAGTCATACTACTGACTGTACAGAGGTGTGACAGCGGTAAGGTGTTTCCTTCAGACAATCAGCATAATAGCGATGCTGCCTTCCCACAAGGAGGGGTGGGGGTTAGAAAAGGTCGACCCTAAAAATGCACACCCCACCTTATCCCACGGATATCCGTCTCTGGCGGTAAGGTCTCAACACGTACGTAGCTAACACGAAAATTTCTCATAAAAAAGTCGTATGTGACCGACCTCAAGCAGTTATCCCTTTGGCACTGCGGTCACGCTCTCAGGTTACTAAAACCACCTTTAATCCAATTTCCTTTTCAGGTACCTCCAGAAGAACCCTTCCACGGTGTAGGCAACCGGGAAGTGTTAACCACCCTCATACCTCCAACAGCACTCAAGACTGACTGACTGATGAATCTGGTATTCATCTCAATATGCTAACGAGTTATGATAACTTGAACCGATGTATATATGTGCCTAGTCCAACGTTGTAGATGACTGACGGACTGACTGACTGAGATAGTTGTCTAGCTAAGATCGGTTAGTAAGTTAAACTACGTAAATAATAATGCTATCATTATTTCCCTTCACTTTCTCTCTCTCTCACTCACTCACTCTCTCTTTCTCTCTCTCTTTCTCTAAGGTATTATGCTAAACGTTGTTTCCTATCACTTATTGAAAATATGTCAAAACATATGATCTTATTAAGAGATGCTGTACTCATGGAGTGTATACAATTTTTAGAACATTGTGAATGTAAGTCAAATGATATTCATTGTTTAATATCTATCATTGACTTATTTGTGTTTGTATGGTTGATATTGGACCCCAATTATTGGCAAAGATATGATCTGTCATCTTAAGATAGATGATATTTCTTATAAAGTTTAAAAGATTGGATCAACACTAGGTTTATTATTAGTTAAATGATCAATCAATACAAAAGTCTTGATCTTATGATTAACAATATGGGACTCCTCAATAATACGTATCCACAATCCCGCATGTGGGATTCGAACCTAGGGATTGTGGATGCAGTGGTGTCGTGCAGGTTCTATAAAGATACCAGACTGCTCGTAAACATTTTATGCGTGATTGTTCCTGTCGATACAGCCAGCATAGCAGCAGTCTCTGCATCAGTAGGCCTCAACATACACAAAGGGAAAACCAAGGTCCTCAAACACAACACGGAGAACAGCAATCCAATCACTCTTGATGGCGAAACTCTGGAAGACATGGAATTCTTCACATACCTGGGAAGCATCGTCGATAAACAAGGAGGTTCAGATGCAGACGTCAAGGCGAGGATTGGCAAAGCTAGAGCGGAATTCCTTCAACTGAAGAACATATGGAACTCAAAACAACTTTCAACCAATATAAAAGTCAGAATCTTCAATACGAACATCAAGGCAGTTCTACTGTATGGAGCTGAAAGGTGGAGAACTACAACAACCACCATCAAGAAGGTACAGGTATTTATTAATAGCTGTCTACGCATGATACTCAACATCCATTGGCCGGATACCATCAGCAACAGCCTTTTGTGGGAGAGAACCAACCAGCTTCCAGCTGAAGAGGAAATTAGGAAAAGACGATGGAAATGGATAGGACATACATTGAGGAAATCATCAAACTGCATTACGAGACAAGCGCTAACTTGGAATCCTGAAGGGAAGCGGAAAAGAGGAAGGTCAAAGAACACATTACGTCGGGAAATAGAAGCAGATATGAAAAAGATGAATAAGAACTGGAAAGAGCTTGAAAGGATTGCCCAGGACAGGGTTGGATGGAGAATGCTGGTGAGCGGCCTATGCTCCTTCACGAGGAGTAACAGACGTAAGTAAGTAAGTAAGTTCCTGTCGATAAGTCACTGTTCTCTAATTGACAGTATCTTTACGTAATAGGGCATAAGGCTACAAGTTATAACATGTACCCAATATGAAACCTTAAAGGTTATGTATGAACACATGATGATGAATCTTCAAACTGTAATAAAACATCTGTTCACAGTATTTTAGATTCCATCCAACAGTTTATTAGTTACGTTTATCTTATATCTTGTCTAATATTAGCCTACTATATACTCCATATTATCGTGTCTTTGATCTAGCCAACTACACATCCGTTTAATACTACTATCCATGGGTTAGCAACTAGGTTACTATTTTGTCCACCTTTGAGTCCAGAATTAAGTAACCAACCTTTACAATATTTATATTTTAAATAGACATTATTTAATATACAAACATATCAGACTCTATTACCTATAAAATTATACAGGAATAAGTCATAAATTGATCATGAATAGATGGATGGATGAATGGGGGGAAGGTGGGTGGGTGGGTGGTTGGGGAGATTGTAACTAAGGGACTGGCAACAAAATTGTAACCTTATATCCATATAACCATAGTGAATAAGTCAATCGAAAGCTTGTTGATAAATAGAATATCCTTATATGTACATGGTAACTAATTTACTGAATTCATTCATGTATAATCAAAATGATCATTGATACTAATTCTAAAATCTAGTTTTAATTTTTACAATCTCTATTCTATTATAACAATCAACAAGTCATATTCAACTTAATTTGACCTCAATAGTGTCTCTCTCTCTCTCTGTCTCCCTCCCTCTATAGAATGAATGTTCTAATCTTTGTATACATGAATTTATTATTCATTTGGTATTGTTGTTTATTTGGATCTCTCGATTGATATTTAAGACTTCTTGGCATATATGCATATATGTCAATAAGAAACTGATCAAGATATAGGTAACAAGTACCAAGGGTGTTGCTATCAGGACTCAGTAACTAAGTGGATAACACAATGGTGTTTGAAGTGAATGGTACAGGATTTGAGTCCCAGAGTGAACATTGCTAGGTTTTAAGCTATCACGAGTTCACTTAATCTGAGAACGAGAACAAGACTCAGGGACCAGTGACCAGTAAGCTAACTATTGATGAGTCCCGACCCCGCTATCTAGAGGGAGAAGTCTAAGCTTAGAATGGGAAGTATATTTTGCAACAACCAGAAAACGTATATACAAATATACATATATCGATATTGCCATGGAGCTTTTAAACATTGAACCGATAAGTTCGTCGATCGACTATGTGCGTGGGTGGTGACAAGGTGCCCACGCATTCATCTGCATACAAGCTCCACAAAGATAAAATTACGAAATCTGAGTTTTAGGGAGCTATCGTCCCCAACACTCATCCCCTTTTTTAATATCGTACTTTCCTGCGGTCTACTTGCATCTTGACTGTTGCTCGCCACTTTCGGAGAGATTACCTTCTGAAACGGAGATCAGCTTGCTGTTGAGCTTCTTCTCGTTGTGAGGCTTCTGGTAATTTGAATGTATTAAGCAGAATGTCAAGGGGAAGATTTACCCCTGTTGATGGGCGGTCTGGGGCTATCCGCTTCTGTAGTTGTTTTCGGTGTCTAGTCCACGTGTCTCTTCTCACCTTCACCTCGCACATAACTTGGCCTAGTCTTCCAATCACACATGCTTTGATACAAGGACCATGATTTGCTCTGCAATCTCGAGCGAACACTGAGCATACAACCTCATACGTTGTCAGCTTCTGAGATTTGATCTCAGATGGTGGTGGTGTGGTTCTTGGGCACATCAGACTGTGGATCGTCCTCCATTTCCTTCCCATCACGATCTCTGCCGGGGACTTCTGCTGTGGTAACATATCATTAGGTGTTGTTCTGTAAGCCAACAAGAAATTTTGCAGTGTTTCTACTGGCATCCCCCCCTTTCGACTTCATTAGAGCTCTCTTGAATGTATTCATAAATCTTTCTGCTTGGCTATTTGACTTTAGGTGGTAAGGTGGAAAGCGGAAATGTGTGATCAACTCTGAGATGTAATTACATCTAGCTGAAGAGTCTCAAATAGGAAGAAACGCTCAGCAACCTGGGTTTCATTATTAACCATTATCTATCTTTCCTTACATTTATGTAACGTACTATTTATTCCTTATTTCCATTTGATGAATTCACTTAATGTTATTATGATATCATTTTATTGATTACATTTTTAGTATATGGACGTAATATAAAAGTTCATATGGAACAACCAATTGAACCACAGAAAATACATCCAGGACAAAATACAATTACATATGAAGCACGTTTATTAAAATCACTTTTATTAGAACTTATCCAAGGTTAATAATACAAGTTATGAAGTTCATTCATATGGTTCTCTTCTTTTAAAACGATACCTTTCAATCAATGTTTATATCGATTTAAGATGATGATGATGAGGATGATGATGATGATAACGAAGATCTTGTAGGTCAGTTGGATGATTTCGATGAAGTTTTGGTTCTTGATCAAATCATCTAAATCAGAGAACAAAATTTATAGAGTTGTTTATTTGCTCGATCGAGTCTATGTGTGTGTGTGTGAGTGTATGTGTGCGTGCGTGTGTGTACGTGTGTGTGTGTCTTCTTTAAAACGATACTTTTCGATAAATGTTTATATCGATTTAAGACGATGATGATGATGACGACGACGACGACGAAGATTTTGTATCTCAGTCGGATGATTCCGATGAAGTTTTGATTCTTGATCAAATAATCTAAATCAGAGAACAAAGTTTATAGAGTTGTTTATTTGCTCGATCAAGTCTATGTGTGTGTGTGAGCGTATGTGTTTATGTATCCATGGCAACTATTTGATTTACAATAGTTCATGTATATAATTTATCAAACATTCTTTTATTCTGTTTATATTTCTATTCATAATTATTAGTAATATCATGTATATTCATCAATTTTAATAACAAATACCATTGTTGAAATACTTCATAAAACCCTCTTCTGATAATAATCATCATATACTCAGTAGTGACTGGCTTCATGAGATAGATATTTCCTGGGATACTAGTGAGAAGCCGTGACCAGTAGAGTTTAGCCAGGTCTGTTGTGAGATTGTAACTCAATAGTGGCGGTGAAGCAATTTCATGGATTGATTGGAGATAAACATTAACACTGATGGATGTTGGCCAGCTCAATGGTTTAGAAGTAATGCGTTTACACAGGAGACCGACAGGTTCTGAGTTCGAGTCCTGAGTGTGGGATTGTGAATGTGTAATGTTGAGAAGTCCCATTTTCATCCAATGCTTCCGGATAGTCTAGTTTCAATGGACTCATGAATTCAACCATTAAATTATAACGATTTATTAATAGTTGAAGAAGTTGAATTCAAATAGTTCTCCTACTAGATCCTAAACTTTCGTTGTTGTCTTCAATCTAATTTGTTCTTTCTGTACTAAATTCTGTATATTAATCTATCCTTTGCAAATGATGTGAACTTCTTCTATAACCTACATTGTTGTCTATGATTAATTGATCGTTCTTTTTTCGACGATCTTCTCAATCTTCTGTCTTCATGATGTTACATACTACTTATATCTACCGAAATCACTAGCAAACATCACAATGCAACTGAGTAGAAGATGAGTATAGTATAGAATGTTCCTTAATTACAATTTAGAATATATCAGTAGTTTATAGTAATTAACTATCATATTGGAAATGTGTCATTCCCTATTGATAAGAAATCAGTCAATTAGAAATCGGTAATCAATAGAGTATATCAGAAAGTGATAACTTTGGAAGATTAGTAGTTAGAGGGTTATGGAAGACAAATAAGTTTGAATATTGAGATCATGAATCGACTGATGTTACACCACCGTTGGAAACCTGGAAGCACTGGACGACCGTTTCGTCCTATTGTGGGACTCCTCAGTGGCAGTGCGCATCCACTATTCCGCTCGCGGGATTCGAACCCAGGGCCTTCAGTCTCGTGTGCGAAAGCCTGACCTACTGAACCACTGAGCCAGCATTCAATGGTGTTAGCGTCCAACATCAATCAATCCACGAAATTGCACGACCATCTTCCATTTTACTGAGGTAGATACCTGTCTCTACCGGACACGGCTTCTCACTAGAACTCCGAAGCTAGTCACTGGTGAGCACATGTTTCCAAAAGTGGTCTAACATCAGTCGATTCATGATCTCTATCAAAACTTAATAATCTCCACAAGCCCAATAATGATAAGTTTGAATATGGTTATTTTTTAAAAGAATATTTTAGTTTATCTAGATGTATAGTGAAGCTTTATTAATGAAGAAAGAAGAAAACGTAGTGTGAGGATGGACAACAGGTGAACTCGAAGAAGCTGTAAGAGGTTCAGAAGGAGCCGAAGATATTTCATCTAATCACCTTTTAGGAGAATATTCTAGAATTCCTACATGTAGATTCCTGATTAGACAATGCTAATAACCCCCTGTATGAAATGTTAAATTAGCCCCCAAATGCCCTGGTACGGTCAAGAGTAGGGAAAGTCCGATCTCCCTCTCGAAATGCTCTCACATGGCCACGCGTTAACAGCCTCTGCCAGGTAAGTCCTACTCAATGCATTCTCGTGGCTTTACTGTTGTTTACGAAAATAAGGAAACGAAAAGCGAATGTCCACAGCTTTAACCGTATCCCAAATCAATGAAGCACATGGGCTGGCTCCAGTTTCCTGAAGGAACAAATGGCATATGAACCAATTATTGGTCACCGGCTACCATGGGACTGCATCTCCTTAAGATGCTCCATTGCCTTGTGGATCAGATCTTCAGGTCGAGGCTCCGGGTGTGGCTCCTTAAGCAAACCACCTGCTTTGGTTTGGGCACCCAGGCAGTATCACAGCCCTCACACATATCAAATGAGATCTATGTGGCGCATATATATTTGGTGCCTTCTTGTACCAATATCTATGTGTTAAAATAAATAATAAATAAACGTTAAATTATGTATCTGTTTTTGTTGAATATCATATGTTTACAGAGTACACAATTTTATAGATCCATCATCTTTCTGAGTAGAATATGCATTGAATAACTTATACTCTTAACTTCATAGAAACAAGTAAATAGATAATGATAATATTGAAGTAACTAGATATGACAAGCTTATCTATCACATGGTTAATAGACATAAGTTCACATAGTAACATCAATGGAGAAAGAACATTTTCATCAGAAAGTTAGGAACGAAAAAGTTCAAAATGTTTGTAAATTTGTTATATTTGATCTTATTAATTAAGTAAAAGATCTTCTTTGAAATGTAAGTTATCGATAACTTTGGAGATTTGGATTGTTTTGTTGTTGTTGCTGGTGGTGGTGGTGGTGGTGGTAGTGATAATGATGGTGGTGTGTCTTAATGAATGAAGTTTATTTCTTTGTCTATGACAAGATCAAAAATTAGTTGAAATGATGTAATGAGAGATATGGTTAAACAAAATATATCTTCATCTTATTAAGATACAAATATATAAACATAGAATAAATTCTCTACAGCTTTATAAACAAAGGTGAATGGTAACTAGCAGTAGAATCCAGGATGCATGTTTCGTCCTATTTGAGATTCATCAGCTGAATGTACCTATATCTCAGAGTTGATGTTCACTCTGCAACTCAAATTCAGTACCGTCCATTTAGTTACTGAGTCCTGATAGCAACACGCTTGTACAATAGGTTGAAGTTTTAATTCACTTGGTATTGTTTATTTGAATCTTCCCATTAATGTTTAGAACTGCAATTGATCAGTTATCTTGTTGATGTATGTGCACCCTGTGTGAATTGCTTCGATATTGCTTTAATTCACAAGCATTATAAACTTGGATAAATAGTGGCTAGTAATGGAATCCAATTTGATACGCGTTTCGTCCTAATTGCGACTCGTCAGCTGGATCAACTGTAGTTTTAAACAACAATAGGAAAATTCAAGCAATTCATATCATGTGAAATTCTCTTCAGGTTCTATAATTATATATTCAAATTAATGATCCCAAATGTGGCGGGGTTTAGATCAAACTGCATCATTTGAAGTTATTGCATGTGAATTTTAGATTGGGAAACAAAAAAAAACGATGATTACTGTTATATCTAGACCATTATGGAAAACCTGGAACACTGGATAGTCATTTTGTCTTAATATATGACATCTCATCAAAGCACATTCAAGATCCCGTTCGTGGCATTCCAATCCAGGACCTTTAGTCTCAAGTTATAATCTGTTGAACTGAAGATATCTTCGTGACAAAATATACTATTCACTTTACTGGAAAATTTTGAAACTAAATACGATCTAGGGTATGTAAATCTATTATATATGGTTGTCATATTATAAACTGATTCAATATCGAAGTAGAACCTGTTGAGTCAGCTTACCGTAAAACTGCAAACAAGCCTTCGGAGGACTTGAAGGAGCTGAAGAGTTCTAGTCAATCAGAGCATGATGGAGCTTTCTAGAATACCAACTTGGCGAGCTACCATTGGTCAGTAGCGTAATAAGTCTTGAAGTGGATTGGTCAAAATATGATGTTGATATAACAAATGTTAACATCTATAAATACCCATGTTTTTCTGTACAAAAATGAACCTTGGAGTAAAGTACTTTTCGCATACTTTGCGCCTTCTCTCTCATGTTCAAGTTGCTATATAGTTCTAGCTTGAGAATCTCAAGAATAGCTTAGGATACAACTATAGCGTTCAAATAACAAGACTTATCAGAACCTAACAGAAATATTTCGATACATATGCATTCACGAACCCGGCCCCACTGCCTACACAAGATTCGACAGTGGCTCAATTTCATGGATTGGTTAAAGTTAGACATTAACACCGTTGAATACAATACCAGCTCAGGAGTCTGATGGTTAAGTGATCGCGTACGCGTGATTTGATATATCTTGGGTCCGAGTCTCGCGAAATGGGGGTCTGGATCGTAAATCAAATCGTTGATAACACATTTTCTTCTATCTTTCTATTCATGGAATGTAATACATTTAGTTATGAATCTTCATCGACTGAGATGGTTAAGCCACGTGCTGCATATGCCTGAACACCGATTACCACAATGCGCAATGCTAACCGGTATTAGGGATAATTGAAAGAAAGTTAGAGGGGGCGGATAAAGCAAAACGTGGCATCAGTGCTTGAAGTCACTAACTAACGTCTAGTCTGAGTCATGTTGGTAGATGCAGAGTACCTGGTTGGGGTCCATGTGACTATCATAATCAATGGTTGCAGACTCTGGGTGACATGGCTCAGAATCGATCACAATGTCGTAGGTGTATACACTGTCTGTCTTCTCTTAAACTAAGAGATTAAAATCGCTCCATATCTTTCTTTCTACGAACTAATTCTTTCTTCCTGTAATATCTCGTTATATGCAATCTCTCTTCTATATATATTACCACCACTGAATGAACTACTTCTATGAATCCGGTGTTGTTCATGTCGTTGTGCTAATACAGTGTGGCAACTTTGACCGATGAATATATGTTCCTGGTCCTACGTTGCAGCTGACTTACTGACTGACTGACTGACTGACTACCATGTTAAAAGTAACAAGAATAAAAATAATTTCACATGCATTTATCGATTATTGAAAATGTTTCTATGACATCAATAGAAATTAGAAAAAAACGTTTTCTTTTCTTTTTTTTTTCTTCTTCTTCTTCTTGTTGTTGTCGTTGAAAAATGGATGTAACAAATAAGAAAAAGTACAAAGTGTTATTGAATAAGACTGTTTAGTAGATACATCGGAGAAAAAAACACTCAATAATCTTTAGTTGATGTTTAAATATCATGTAAAATGGTAAGAAAAGATTTTCGAAGTTGTTATACATAGATAGATAGATGAGTGGATACATACATACATAGATAGATAGATAGATAGATAGATAGATAGATAGATAGATAGATAGATAGATAGATAGATAGATGAGTGGATAGAAAGATAGATAGATAGATAGATAGATAGATAGATAGATAGATAGATAGATAGATAGATAGATAGATAGATAGATAGATAGATAAATAGATAGATAGATAGATGAGTGGATAGAAAGAAAGAAAGAAAGATAGATAGATAGATAGATAGATAGATAGATAGATGAGTGGATAGAAAGAAAGAAAGAAAGAAAGAAAGAAAGAAAGAAAGATAGATAGATAGATAGATAGATAGATAGATAGATAGATAGATAGATAGATAGATAGATAGATAGATAGATAGATAGATAGATAGATAGATAGATAGATAGATAGATAGATAGATAGATAGATAGATAGATAGATAGATAGATAGATAGATAGATAGTGAGTTAACACCATCAGCACAAGTGACATATATTCTACGTTGCAATGCAACACAATATGCTTTAAAAATAAAGTTACTTACTTACTTATTTACTTACCTACTTATTTACTTATTTGCTTACTTACATTTGTTACCCCTCATCGAATAGCATAGGCCACCAACACCCATTCTCCATCTAATTGTGTCCTAGACAATCCATTACACTTGTTTCCAGTGGCTATCCATCAGTTTGATGTCCGCTTCCAATTCCCAAAGTAGCATGTTCTTCGGCCTTCCTCTTAACCGTTTCCATCCGGGATTCCAAATTAAGTCTTGCCTTATGATACAGTTTGATTATTTCGACAATGTGTATCCTATCCACTTCCGACATCATCTGGAATCTGGTTTGTACTCTACCACAGTAGGTTGTTGCGGATTGTATCACGTCAACAGACATTCAGTATCTTGTGTAGACAATTGTTGATTAACATAGTTGTTGTAGTAGTTCTCCAAATTTTCAGTTCTGCACAGTAGAACTGTCTAGGTGTACTACTGGTCATAACCCCGGATAAAGGAGGAAGGTCGAGGATGGCGTCAGCAAACCTATCCCATAGAAACACAACCCTGCTTAAAGAACACGTTGTCCAGATTAAACAAATTAAACCATTTAAAACTAATCTAATAGGAATTATCAATTTAGGTGTTGTGGAGATTGTCAAGTTTTTGATTGAGATCATGAATCCATTGATGTTAGGGTTAGGGACAAAACGGTCGTCCAGTGCTTCCAGTTTTTTAATGGCGGTCTAACATCAATCAGCTCATGATCTCAATCAAAAACTTGACAATCTCCACAACACCTAAATTGATAAATACAAGGTACTCACTAATGACTAGCTTCGTGAGAAAATTCTCGGAGTTCTGTTGACAAGTCGTGACCAGTGGAGCTAATCCTTGTCGGGTAGAAACAGGTGTCTACCTCAGTACAATGGAAGATGGTCGCGCAACTTTGTGGATTGGTTGAGGTTAGACATTAACACCGTTGGATGCTGGCCAGCTCAGTGGTCGAGTAGGTTAAGCGTTCGCGCGCGAAACTGAAGGCCCTGGGTTTGAATCCCACGAGCAGGATCGTAGGTGCGCACTGCTGAAGAGTCCCAAAATAGAACGAAACGGTCGTCCAGTACTTCCAGGTTTTCAATGGTGGTCTAACATCAATCGGTTCATGATCTCAATCTATTATAGGAATTATTATATTTTGTCTACTATTATGTATACATAACTTGTCAATCTCATGGTAACTCATTGACTAGATTATAGACATTTGATTCAGTAAACTTCTATTAAATATTAATCAAAACAATGTAACTAGGGATACCATCTATTATCCCTACACTGTTTGATGAAATGGTACAGATTCATTGTCCAAGTATTATGTCATAACAAGATGACATTCAATATGTCATATACATGTCATTGTCAATAATATTTTGTCAATGTCATATAACCTATTCACCCATATTACTTTAATAAACATAATTCATAACCTTAATATATGATTTATGTCAATGTTTAGATTCTAAACAACATTGATATTGATCAATGTTAGATCATCATTGAAAACTTGGAAACATTGGATAGCTTCCAAATATCTTGATACGACCAAGAGTAAGGAGAGTCAGCTCTCCCTCTAGATATACTCTCACATAGCCACATTCATACAACCACTGACAGGGAAGTCCTACTTACTGCCTTCTTGCCAAAGGGGGTGTTGTTTACCAAAATCGAAAGGAGGGAAAATGAATATCCGGCACCTTAACCAAGTTGGTGCATATGGAGAGTTCATCTAAGAGAGTTGGAAAATCCTGATTTTAAACCAATGGTATACATGGGCTCTAGTGTCTTGAAAGAACAAATGGCGTATGAGCCAATCGTTGATCACCGGCTATCATGTGACTGCATTTCCTGACGTTGCTACACTGTTTTATGGATCAGTCCTCTAGATCAAAGGCTCAGTGTTTGACCGCCTAAGAAAATGGCCTGATTCACAGCGCACAGACAAATCGAGTGACTAGTGTACAGCAAATGTATCCAGTGCCTCCGTGTACCAATCTTTATGTGTTTAAATAAATAAGTATATGTTTACTTTATAAACAAATTGATACCAATCAATGTTAGATCATCATTGAAGGCCTAGAAACATTGAATAGCCGTTTTATCTTAGTGCGGAATTTCTTAGAAGTGCATATCAATGAACCACACAAGGGATTCGAACCCAGGAAATGTAGTCTCACTTAAAATTTTAATGGTAGTCTTTCATTGATTGATAAATCATCTCAATAAAATCTCAACAATCTCTACAACTCTGTACTGATAATTATCATGTATTCAATAGCGATTAGCTTTGAAAGGTAATTCTCAAAGTTCTAGTAAGAAGCTATTACCAATGTAGTCCAACCGTGTCGAGTGTGAGGCAGTTGATTCACTTTTTTCCTAAAATTTCCAGCTACGTACAGTAGAACTATCTTGACATTCACTTTGAAGATTGTCAATTTGATGCTGACTTGAAGACAATTGTTTTGAGTTTGATATAATGTTCAATTGTAGAAGTACTTCCCTTCCCTCCTCATGTTAACATCTATATGATATTCTCCTTGTTCATTAGTAATGCTTCTCAAATATACATGCATGTTTCCACATCTTCCATAGATTTTTCATCAAGTGTAATTGTATTGGTATTCTCCATGTTGTATTTGAGGATCTGGTATTTTTCTTTATGTATATCAATAATTGTTTGCTTACTCTCACCCTTTCTCTATCTCCTGGTGATCGACTGGATCATGAAGACGTCAACATCTGAAGGGAAGGGAAGCACAGGATACAGTGGACAGCTAGGATGCAGCTGGATGATCTAGACTTCGCAGATGATCTGGCTCTTCTATCGCATACGCAACAACAAATACAGGAGAAGACAACCAGTGTAGCTGCAGCCTCAGCAGCAATAGGTCTCAATATACACAAAAGGAAAAGTAAGATTCTCCGATACAACACAGCATACACCAATCCAATCACAATTGACGGAGAATCTTTGGAAGATGTACAAACCTTTACATATTTGGTCAGCATCATCGATGAACACGGTGGATGTGATGTAGATGTGAAGGCACGGATTGGCAAAACAAGAGTTGCGTATTTACAACTGAAGAAAATCTCGAACTCAAAACAATTGTCTGTCTATCAACACCAAAGTCAGAATTTTCAATACAAATGTCAAGACAGTTCTACTGTATGGGGCCGAAACGTGGAAAACCACGAAAGCCATTATCCAGAAGATACAGGTGTTTATTAACAGTTATGTACGCAAAATATTTCGGATCCGTTTGCCGGACACTATCAGCAACAACCTACTATGGGGGAGAACAAACCAGATCCTAATGGAGGAATAAATCAGGAAGAAGCGCTGGAAGTGGATAGGACACACATTGAGGAAAGCACCGAACTGCGTTTGCACAAGACAGGCCCTCACATGGAATCCTCAAGGTCGAAGGAGAAGTGGAAAACAAAAGAACACATTACACCAGGAAATGGAGATAGACATGAGAAAAATGAACAAAAATTGGACAGAACTGGGAAGGAATGACCAGGACAAAGTGGGTTGGAGAATGCTGATCAGTGACCTATGCTGCATTAGGAGTAACAAGCGTAAGTAATATCTATAATTATATTATTCATAAAAACGTCTACTACTACTACTACTAATGAAAAATATTGAATTAGTTAAATAGATGAATTACCGTTAACTTTACCTAGAATTTCTGTCTATAAGAAATCAAATAAATTCCTGAAATGAATTATAACACTATACAATGTTAAAACTATGTATATGTTACACATGTATGTACATTAGTTGATAGGTATATGTGTGTATGTATTTATTCCTTCAACACACACACACACACAAATACACACATACATACACGTATATAAATATATACATAGAACATAGTGTATAAGCCCTCCCTACCCTAACATCACCGTAAAATGTGTACATGAACAATCCGACAAATCTATATACCTATATACATAATAACAACTATTCTATGTCTAGGCTTTTCTATAATCTTATCAAATAAGAATCATTATCATCATCAGCCATAGAAACAACATCATCACCATCATCATCAAAACGAAAAATTAAAGAAAAAAAAAACTTGAAAAAAAAAATAACAAACAACTGTTCATCTATTGGTTGATAACATTTTATCCAATGAAAATTCTAGAAATTCTCAAGGTTATTCAATTTTATTTTATTGAGTCAAATTTACAAAAATCATTTATTTACCATAGAAACTAAAAAATGTTTAACATCATTGATAAATTCATATGGAAACTATTATTATTATTATTATTATTTAAAAGATGTTTTATTACATATGAATTTAATGAATATTCATTATATTACTTATATTCAATTAGTAATGTTATATATAATAATAAGTAGTATAGAAATAAATGTAAAAGAATTAAACAATGTTAATAATGTAATAAATTATCATCATGATCATAATGATCTTCACTCTGATCCTGATCCTGATCAAAATCATGATCCTGATCCTGATCCCGATCATAATAATAATGATATAATGAATAATGGTATTAATGATATCATGAATATATTAGAAACAGTAAATAATCTATCTATACAAGAATATACATCTATGAATGATGATATTTCTAATAAAGAAGATCATCTGAAACTTTTACGTTATCCACGTTCTATTTCATTAACATCAACTAAAGAATTAAATAATGAATATGAAGATATACCATGTTATTTTCAATGTATTCTAAGATCATATCAAAATAATGAAGAAATTAAAAAAATTTCTAAAATAGTATTACATATATCTAAAGAAAAAATTACTATATTAGATTGTTTTAATTCATCATCTTCTTTGAAAACAGTGACAACGACTATGACAACGACATTGACCACAGTGACAACGACAATGACAACGATGTCATCGACAATGATGATGAGTTCAATACCGATGAATAATTTATGGAATCAATCAATTATAAGTCAATGTGTTATACATTTTACTAAACGTTTATTACATATTATTATTGGTAAATTATCATATAATTTCAATATAGATTGGTTTATTATTACTTCTAATCAATTTATTAGTAGTATATATTATTCTATTGAAAGTTATATACAATCAACAACTGATTTATATATAACATTAACTATACCAATATATCGTTTAGATAGACAAGATTTCAATAGATTATCTAAATGGTTAAAATATCTCTCTATAAATGGTAAACAATTACGTTATATAGATGTAATGCTTATAGCTAATTTAACATTAGATTATTTTATATTACAAGATTGTATAAGAAATGATGAAATTATTATCAATCCCTTAGTAACAACATTACCAGATTCACGTATTGAATTATATAATCATAATTATAAAAATTGTTTAGTATATTGGATTTATACATGTCCTAATTATTCACAATTTATACTTATTGCTGATAAAAAAACACATCAATATTATTGTAATACAATCAATTCTATGAAACAATCAAAATTACATTTAGTTACTAAACAATCAATAATTAAAAATTTACGAGCTAAAAGATCATTAAAACATTCATATGAAAGAAAAAGTACAACATCACTAGCATCAACACCACCATCATCACCACCACCACCACCACGACCAGCATCATTATCACCACCACCAGTATCATCATCATCATCATCATCATCATCATCATCACCACCAACACCACTACCAACAATCTCGTCATTGACAACATCTTCTATTGAAACGTTGATTAATAATCAAATTCAATCCATCCAATCTAAGATACATAATCATTCAAATATATTGACAGTAAAAAATCAAACTATGAAAGATTGTACTTTCATAGAAAATGATATCAAACAATTTATCAATGATAAATGTGAACAGAAAATAACATGGTTAACAAATATGTTAACTATACTACTTATAATATTATTAGTAATGATTATTATTCTATTGAGTTTATTATTAGGATTTAGTTATTTTATCAAACAATATTTATTATTAAAACATGAAAGTAAAATAAGATAAATGAAACTATAGTGACTAGTTTATTGATTAAAAAAAAAGGGGATGTATAGTTACTATGCAATATTGAAATGAATATCTTCTATTACTTAACCACCACCACCCCCTTGTTACTTTTTCATGGGATAAATCAATGTAATCATATTATTATTTTTCATTTATGGATATAAGAGTGTTTCTTTTGAAGGGGGGGGGCGAGTTCTTTGTTTTTTTTCTTTTTTCTTGTTTATTGATTAAATATAATCATGAATTTGACTACTTACAAGTAGTAGTATTTGTATTATTGGATATGATAGTGATTACAATGGTTAAGATCACAAGTTAATTGAAGTTCTATTTCGTGGATTGGTTGAGGTTAGACATTAATATCGTTGGATAACAGATGACCTAGTGATCTGATAGGTCGTGGGTTCGAATCTCGAGACGCGGGATCATGGATATGCATTACTAAGGAGTACAACAATAGAACGAAAAGATTGTCCAATGCTTTTAGGTTTTCAGTAGAGGTCTTACTTTAATTGACTCATGATTTCAACATGATAAGTAAGAGTATGGTTACTAGTTTATTGATTAAAAAAAGGGGATGTATAGTCACTATACATCATTGAAATGGACATCTTTTATTACTTACCCCTTCCCCTCTCTGTTATTCCTTCATGGGATAAATCAATTTAATCATATTATTATTTTTCATTTATGGATATAAGAGTGTTTTAATTGATCTAGTGTTTTTTGCGCGGGGGGGAAGGGTTTGTTTTTTGTTTCTTTTTGTGTGTGTATTGATTAAGTATAATCATTAATTTAACTACTTATAAGTAGTAGTATTTATATTAATGATCAATTTATTAAAAGAATTTTTTTGAATATTACAAGTGTTTTATGGATATGAAAATGATTTTAATGGTTACGATCATGAATCAATTGAAGTTGGATTTCGTGGATTGGTTGAAGTTAGAAATTATTATCGTTGGATAAGAGATGCCCTACTGATTTGATAGATCCTCGGTTCGAATCTCGCAACGCGAGGTCATGGATACACATTGCTAAGGAATCTCATTGTAGTATGAAATGGCCGTCCAAAGCTTTCAGGTTCTTCATGGTGGTCTAGCTTTAATTGACCACTGAAATTTTTTAATTGGTTGAATTGGAAAAGCTAGAAACATTGGACGACCATGAAGTTCAATTGTATCTGTTGTAAATGAAGTTGTTCACTGAAGACAATGATGGACAGTTGTGCAATGTCGTGCATTGATTGAAAATAGATATGAACACTATTGATTGATGTCGAGATTGAGTATTCACCCAAGAGAACAAAGCTCCTAGGTTTGTGTTCCGCGTACGAGATCGTAGATATGCACTGTTACCGAGTAACATACTAAGACAAAACGACGGTCTACTACTATACTACTTATAATTTTATTAGTAATGATTATAGTTCTATTTGGTTTATTGTTACTACTTAGTAAGTTTATAAGACAATACTTATCATTACAAACAAACAGAAGAAAAGGTGTACAGTATCTATGCATCTAGATGACTATCGGTGAGACTATAATTTGTGGATGACAATTAAGAGTGTCCACCTACATACCAGGATCAAATGATGGTTATAAATTACTATGAGTTTAAGGTTACGAGATAGATTTAGGGTTTTTCATCAGCTATAATGCTCAAACGCTATTTAGTTATCGATTGAGATAATGAATCGACTGATAATCAACATGTGCTCACTAGTGACTAGCTTCGTGGGGGAATTCTCGGAGTTCTAGTGAGAAGCCGTGACTAGTAGAGCTAATCCATGTCGGGTAGAGACTGAACGCCCTGGGTTAGAATCTCGAGAGCGGGGTCGTGGATGCACACTGCTGAGGAGTCCCATACGAGGACGAAACGGCCGTCCAATGCTTCCAGATTTCCAACGGTGGTGTAACATCATTCGATTGATAATCTCAATCGAAAACTTAATAATCTCCACAACCCCAATACTGCTATTTAGTTAAATGGATGAGTGAATGTCGCGCCAAAATTATCGTCTCGCCTGCATATCTTCTGTAATGTGACAAATAAATGTAATGAACAATATATATTAGAGAATATTTTACTGGTTGAATTGATGAGTTGAATAAAGCTAAACTATCATAGAAAAGCTGGAAGTACTGGAAGGCCATGAAAGTCAACTTTGTCCATTGTAAAGGTAGTAATTCACTGAAGACAATAGTGAACTGTCACTCAATAGAGTGGATTGGTTGAAGTTAAACAAGAACATCAACTAGTTGGGCTGGCTCAGTGGTCTAGGAGTTAAGCGTTAGCCGTCAAGACTGAATGTCCTGGGTTCGAGTCTTGCATGAGAGATTGTGAATAAGCACTGTTGAATTCAATTGTTAAAAAATTATTAAAGTATCCACAAAACCTCATTTTCCATCATGAAAAAATGTTTATGGAGTTATCTGTTAACTTCAACCTATCTATCTAATCAAGCCCCAATAAGTCAAGTGATAGACGGTATGTCAGAAATAATTACACCTTTCTCCGTAAACTCTTTGACTGTCGTTTCACAATAAATTTCACCAGTAATATTTAAAGTTCCCCCCGGATGCATTATATGCTGATTGATGATTTGAGCATATTCGTGGTCTCCCGAGTTTCTTCCACGTTTTTCTTCTTAACAGTGTTATATAGGAAGCTGTGTCTAACTGTAAGCAGACATCATATCTATTAGTCTTGAGAGAAACATACTTTCTATGGTTATAAGAGCTGACTTTGTTAAGAGCTACCGTTACTTTAGCTGTCCATGGCTTGATGTCATTTTAGGGTTTTGCAATGACTTTCTTTGTGCCCTTTTCTGGAACATATAGTACAACGATGATTTTTAAACGGACAAACACTTTTGAAATGCCACTCGCCACATTACCATCATGAGAATGATGGTTTGATGCTGTCATTACGATAACTCTGCATGCTGGAACCTTGTAAGACAGTATAGACGTGAAGGAACCGGTTATCGTGCTCTACTATCGAGGTATCATGCTTCAAGTTCACTAACCTTTGGAATTCGGTAGTTAATTCCTGTAGAATCATGTTGGGACAATGTTTGAGCTTGATTAGGATTCTTGTCCAAATGTCAGCATCCTCGGATGAATGCAGGCTACAGATAAATACTAGGCATTTAAACTGGTCTTCAGTCATGGAATACAAACGCAAACACACACAGACACATACAGTTATTCATGTTCAAGTCGGTATTCAGAGTTATTCACTTATCAGCAATAACATGCGTCGCGGTTGATTATGATCAACATTATACTGAGACTATGTGCCAGTTATTAGGTTGGATCCCTTTGTAGTCCAGAAACCAGAAGACAGTTGACGGTTGTATTGTCAATTTCGTGGTATCGAAAGAATGCCGAGATCGTGTTAAAGAATACGTAAGGAACTACTGAGTGTAACCGAGAGCGTGCAAAGTCACAGTCAATGGAAGAATGTATGTTTTTTAGTACAGTTAAACAAACAAGTACAGTCAAACAATCACTGGTACAATTGGTTATAATAATAATTGTTCCCATTACACCAATCGCATTCTCTTGATAAAAGTAGGTTACTACAATATCATGAATGGATCAATGTTAGACGACGATTGAAAACCTGATAGCACTGGATGGATGCTGAGGATTCTCATACTAGGATAAAATACCTGTTCAATGCCTCTTAAGTTCTAGATCATAAATTCAATAACTGTGAAGGTCATGAATGCACACTGCTTAGTCTAGCCATACTAGGCTGTCATTTCTATTTAGTGCTTCCTACTTTACGATGGATCTAACTATAATCGTTCTGTCATGTAATATGTAAACTTATAGTGTATTACTGACTGAATAACAAATGATGATCCTTTCAAAAACAGAATAACATGATCTGATCACAGACTACCCGGAAACACTAATCGAAATATTCAATAGGAAACTTCTCTGTGTCGACCAACTATCTAAACTATAGTTAAGCTCAATTAAAATAATATATATAACTACTAACTTATATAGGTCTGTTACCTCTTATAAAGAAGCATAAACCGCCTATCTATTGAAATGTGTCTTAAACAGTCCTTTCCAGTTGCTATTCGTCCTTTTCATGTATGCTTCCAATTCTTGATGCAGTGTGTTCTTTAACTTTCCACTTTTCCGATTCCCTTTTAGGATTCCAAGTTAGGGCTAGCCTCGTGATACAGTTTGGTAATCTCCTTGATTTGTGTTCCATACACTTTCAATGACTTGTTTTGTTTTCTTCCCCAGTACATTCACTGTCTTGCGTAGACATTTATCTAGAAATACTTGTACTATTTTGATGATGATTGTGGTAATCCTCCAATTTTCAGCTTCGAACAGTAGAACTGTGTTGAGGTTCGTATTGAAGATTCTGACTTTTGATATTGGTTGACAGCAGTTTTGAGTCTCATATGTTCTTCAATTGTAGGAATTCTTCGTTGCTTCCATAATGTGTGCTTTTACACCTGTACCAGATCCTTCATTCTATCTGTAATCTCTCGAGGCGGGATCATGGATGTGCATTGCTAAGGAATCCCATGCTAGACTGAAACGGTCATCCAATGTTTTCAAGTTTTTTATGGTAGTCTAACTTCATTAAACTCATAATCTCAACTATTAAAATTACTACAATCTCTACAAAACTCCTTCTGATTCATACTACTTTTATCTGTTGATGTTAGTAGTACACATCACGATATCAAAACTTCACAAAATCGTATTCATTCTGAAGTAAAAATCTTATTTACAAAGATGAATGGTGACTATCAGCAGAATCCAGGATGAGAATTTCGTCCCATCTGGGACTCATCAGCTGAATATATATCTATATCTCAGAGTTGATGTTCACTATGGGACTCGAACCCAGTAACATTCGCTACAAACACCATTGTGTTATTCACTTAGCTATTTTCATTTCACAATCACATCTAAGCATATAAAAATGAATGTTGAATATCATATTCTTGTCCAAATATTCAATCTAAATTTGGCGGTATAATTTGAATAGTTTATTTCACATAAAGTATGCTTGTAATGCATATTGATAGTTGAATTAATAAGATGGGTTATTATCATTATTGAATCAATCTATTCTTATTCTTATCAATCATAATAATAACGAGTATAAACAATGAATGTACCAGTTTACATCATATATATCTCAATAAGACATCAGTCAATCGGTTCTCCATCAATAGAGGATGAATGACATTTTATTCAATTATCATTTTACTATAGTTAGCATTTATACCAAGTTAGCGATTTAGTTTTCTATAGGATGAGGTTGTTAAACATATACTAAATCCTTCTGTTTTATCCGGGCTAGAGACTGGCAGTAACCTTAGAGTGACTCAGTATTTTCAATTCAAATGTCAAGAAAGTTCTAATATATATCGGGTAAAAACTTGGAGAACTACAAAAGCTATCATTAACAACAGAGAGAACAAACAAGATTTAAACAGGAGAAGAAATCAGGAAGAAGTGCTAAAAATGGATAGGACACACGTTGAAGAAAGCACCATACTGTATCACAAGGTATTCTCTCACTTGAAATCCTCAAGATCAAAACAAAAGAGAAAG